ATTCATGGTTTGACTACAACAATTTTTCTCTTAATTTGTTCTGCACCCATAAATACACACCAAAATCAAGAAGTTTTAACAATAATGTTAGGTAGGTAACATGCTTAACTTAGAGCGATCAGCTCAATGCTACCATATTGTATTATCCATAAAGGCACAATTACCAAGTAATTCTAATGATATTTTGGAAATTATGAAAATTGAATATAAAGACTGATTTGGTCAATCAAATTCGTACATACACAGGTGATTTAAAATCGGTTTTGAAAACGAAGACAGGTAGTTAGTTGACCGCGTCCAGTTGATGACACAATATTACTAAAAGCATATTTGGATTGCATCGAATCAATTTCATTTAAATGAATATTATACTTGCGGAATTTGAATCATACGTGTCTGATGTTTTCCTTGATTTATTGTCATTTCGCTCGGTTTATTTTACTTGCTGTATATTACATTTACACAATGAAGTTTATGATTCATGGAAAAAGTTATTGTTTTTGTATAACGCTACCCATGTTATTGTATTGTATTTCAGATTGCTAGTGCAAAATCATAGAGAGAAATTAATTTCGGAGTTGGAAAACTGTGATGACCCAGCACTATGCCTGCACATGGCTGTGTTATCGATATTCACAATCGTCACTCAAACCATGTTACATGCATCTGGCAGACAAGTTGCTGTTATTATTAATTATTTGAAAAACCACATAAGAGAGGAAGATTTTGAAAAATTACACTCATATCATGGTGAGTTGTTTTTAAAGAACTAAAATATTATAACAAAAATTAATAATAAAACTTCCGCAAACTAGTCGTGTGAATTATGTAAATTCGTAACCCATAGACACAGTCCACTGATTTTTTTTGCGATTTCGATCCGTTGGTAGATTCTCCGAAGCACTGCTCTTGCTAGGGCTAGTGCTAGCAAATTCTCTCAGTGAGCCCGTGAGCTCACCTATCCGTCCGGGCGTAGCCGGAACAACCTCTAAGGCTACCAGCGAAGAGGTAGGAATAAAATGTAAATTGGAATCCATTATTTAAGATGCTGTCAGATGAAGCTTTGAATTGATCATTGTTCATCCCGAAATGAGTGTTGCGCTTTTTTTCTAACTAATCGTTGTTATCCTAACGTACTATTAAAACTACGCGCGGTTTGGTAAGTGACGTCACAGTGCTTAACCTGGGAGGAATTGAGTTGTAACAGCAGTGCTTTGTTGAATATACCAGCGGATTGGAATCGCAATCATTTATGAAGATTCGACGAGAAACTCAGTTGGCTATCTATGTCTATAGACTAGGTTAAACGTAGAACTCTTCGACGCATCGGAAGGATGCGATAGGATGTGCTTGGAGCGAAGGCGGCTTTGCGTTGCCCCGTCCTCACAAGGGTAGGTACCACCATTCACGGTGAAGGAATAACATCGTGTAATAAAAAAATCAAACTGCAAAATTATAATTTGCGTAATTACTGGTGGTAGGACCACCACCTCCCGCCTATTTCTGCCGTGAAGCAGTAATGCGTTTCGGTTTGAAGGGGGGGGGAGGCAACTGTTAGAATTCATATCTCAAGGTGGGTGGTGGAATTTAGGTTGTTGATGTTTATGAGCTCTGGTAACCACTTAACTTCAGGTGGGCTGTGAGCTCGTCCCCCCCATCAATACAATAAAAAAAATTGTAATACAAAATTCTGATGATTAACTTTTAACAGCTATCCTAGATTGTGTTTGACCTTGTCTAATGCTCTTCGATCATTTGTGGGTACTATGCTGCTTCGATAGTATAAGTATTAATTTTTCAATGTATCCGTTATTTATGTAATTTCGAACAGTACTTCAAATGAGATAATATAGAAATAATGCGATACTATAATAAAACGAGAACATACCGTATAACTCTTGACTCATCCTTAGAAATGAAATGCCATCCGAAATATTCTGTGTATTTCAAAAATTCTGTTATAACACCGATAGTTGTTATACTAAACCAAAGAAAATGTTACTTAACACTTAACGTCTTTGCTTGTTTGTTTATGGATTATTATTAATTCAATTTCAATTTACACGACACTACTACAATGTACACTATTTTGTTTCACTCGGTTAAGTAGATTATAATGCATCAAAGTGTTCTTCATTTTGTGATCGGAGTGCATCTTAATTATGTTAACGATATGTTATAGATTTCCAACAAATTCATAAGTTTTTTTTAATTAATTAGATTTAGAAGAAGCCTGTTATATAAATTAAGAATAACTTTACTAACAATATAACAATTTATTTTTACAGAATTAGTTACCAAGTTTTTGACTTCAAATGGAGATGACAGAACGGAAATTGAAGATAAGTTAAGAAGTGAATTGACAACTTTAAAAAATGTTGTTCACGACATCAAGAAGTACAAATAAGCTTTGTCGTCAATTCAAATATTGTCTTTATTGATTCTGGGTTTATACTATGTGGTAATACTCGTATTGCGTTGGTGCCTAGCTTAAAACAAAAATGGAACCTCCTTTTTTCTGTCAATATTGCATTATATCCAATTAATTAAAACTGGATTTATAAACAATGAGAAATTAAAAAAAATATATCGTTTTATATTATTAAAACATTTTTAATTGCGGTTGCAAGTATACAAACCTACATTTCTTGATGTTATGATTGTGTGTACTGCGCATCCATTGTTCTATTCCATTCATAGAACTTACATAATAGGAAAACCCACCACGAATTTCAACCGACTTAATATGAAGAGTGATAAACACGCGAATGTGATAGAATACAATTGGAATGGTGGTTACCAGAGCCCATACATGCATAACATGTATACCGCCAGAGTTAGAGTAAGTCTCAATTAGATTGTATAATGGCTGTTGCATCCTACAAACCGGAAACCATTAATACTTTGCTGCAGCAATAGGCAAATTGTTGATATATAGACTTGAGGGCTCATGTGACGCGCTACCATCAATATTTTTGCTAATACCATTTATAATAAAATATAATCATTGTTCAGTACGTGTTAATTAGGTATGTATTTCATAAAAAATATATCCCTCCCTACGGATACGCTGGGCGGTTTAACCCTTAAGCCACGACGTCTTGCAAAATTGGATTCCCAATGTTATTATTAGGGAACCCAGAAATAATTCAAGTTATCTTAATTAGAAGAAAATTAATATTATTATACATAATTTTAATGAATTTTACTTCAAACCGAGAGATGCCAATTATCTAACCATACGATCCTGCGATCAGCCTAATTGTAAGAGCTTGATATTATGGGCGAGAAAAATGCAAACATCATGTCTTCTAGAAGGTTACCGACAGTACAGATGAATACTACAACAGCGGAGCGCTGAAAAATAGATTATAACATTTTTAAAGTTTCTCTGCTATTCCAGTTTGTTAGACGGGTTCCTGTAAATCAATTTGCTTTTCTGAAAAGCCTCAAATGGAAGGAGCTCCTATTTTCCTCAGACCAACAGTGGAAGCAGTGCTCCAGGCGTGTACTGGTTAGCAGTTAGCGTTACAGTACAATTTTAAGGTCGGGTGTGACCAAATATGTCTAGCCATCTTGCGCCCGTGTGAAATAATTACCCTATTAGCCTCTAGTAAGCACTCGATCAAAATGGCATTATTGTTATTTGTATAATATGAAAAATCAAGCCGAATTAATGAAATCGATTTATTTGAAATTGTAATTGGACTGAAATTAGATCAATTCAGATGAGAAGAAACAAAATGATGTTCTGGTAAAATGGTGAGAATTAACCTTGATTTTAGTGCGCTTTTGGAAGAAACCGAAAAGCCACGCCTATCAATTTTATTTCATTGTGGGAAAATGTGTCCTATCGCAACATAATAGACTACCATTATAACACCCCTGAACCTTAAAGAAACACCAAATAACAAAATATAATAATTTACACTTCACTCCTTGCGTCCCCGCCAGTTCTCGCTCACAGACACGAACTACTGAGTTTTTCACCAGATCTTCTCAGTGGGTCGCGATTCCGATCCTGTCATAGATTCAACGAAGCACTTCTCTTATTAGGGCTAGTTTTGGCAAGTTCCATTTATGGTATAGCCCCTTAGCTACTAAAGAATATATAGGTAAAAAAGCCAGATCTCGATTTCTTACTTACAACAACAGACAATCTACGACAAAACACTATATCTGCAGTGGCGGATTTGCAGTCTCGGCCGCCCTAGGCCCCAAGCCATCAGCCGCTCCTTTCTCAGCACCCGATATAGACTACATAATGAACTTACTTTATTGCCAATTTTTTTCTAAATAGATTTAGAAATTTAGGAAAAAAATAATTTTATGCGGTATAGATTGCACCATGCTGTGCAGTCCGCCCGCCATACGTTATATTTAATAAGTTTTTTGACACGATTGGGGCCGCCCCTAAATCTGGCCGCCCTAGGTCCGAGCCTACCGGGCCTTAGGGTAAGTCCGCCACTGGATATCTGTCTTAACCTTAACTAGTAGGTGAGCTCACGGAGCTCAAACCTGACGACGTTGCTAACACCCTAGCAAGAGCCGTGTTTGCAGAATCTACCACCGAATTGGAAACGCGATCCACTGAGAAGATCCGGCGAGAAACTCAGTGGGCTGTGTCTGAGAGTTAATTTACTCGTTGAGCCCTTCGTCGCAAGCGCAAGGGATAGGCATGAAATAATGATAAGCTATTTAATTACTCGTAGTAATAAAAACCTCTGAAACTAAAAAAAAAATGATCTAACGAACGAATATTTTTATTATTAAACGAATTTTTAATCGTTTAGATCGATTCTGCACACCATACATACCTAAACACTACCTACCAGCAGTAGCGATGTGAACCGATTACAATTTCTGGCTTCGGTTTATTACCGATTTTTATCTCAAAAAACCGGTTTTTTAATTTATTTTTAGGTTTTTCCATATAGGCTAAATAATCACTAAATAAAACAAATTTACATGCAAACGAAGAGTTTTCTTCATACAATTAATAGGGGAGCATATTTTATATAGGCTTAACGATCATATTTATATTATCCAATAATAAAACACTTTTTACTTTTTATTTAATTCTGATGTAATTTGTTCAAAAGTAGTTTTTTCTTATATTTTACATGTTAATGGCACTGTAGTTTTTAAATGTAATGCACGGTAATTTGAGTTTGAAACACGGTATTTTTTATTTAGCAGCACGGTAGTTTGTATATTGGATCTGGTAGCACTGGTGTGAACTGTGAATGTAACGTGGACTTCATTAAAAACCGATATTCTTAATTAAAAACCGGTGTTTATTGGTATCTCTAAAAACCGGTTTTTCTTTGGACCGGCTTACATCCCTACTAGACAGACAGCAAGCATGGATTTGATTAGTTTGATCTTGTTTATTTGTTACAGAATTTTAATTTAAAAATAAAAATCTATGTACAGATATTAGTGGAATTAAAGAGATATTCGTTTATGTGTGTTATCGTAAATTTATATACAAAATAGGGTTTATTTTTATTAAAAATTTTAGGAAATGTTCATGAATTAGTGATATCTATTTACAATCGTATTAACTGAAATTATTTTATGAAAATGAACCTCGACCCAAAAGAAAATTCAGACCTACTTCAAGAAAGGAGCAAGGTAGATACTAACGGTAATGCTAATCAGGAAGAAGTCCGAGAGCCTCCTGATGGTGGTTTCCGAGCTTACGCGGTTGTTCTCGCATCATTTTTTACCAACGGACTGCTTTTTGGGGTAATAAATTCCTGCAGTGTTGTATATCCCGTTCTCGAGATAATATTAAAAGAACAGGGAGCCACAAATGAAGAGAGCCGTGCTGGTAAGTATTTAAACCTGAACAACTAATTAACACTTTTTTTTTTTTTTTTTCGGGGCGAAATTCTCATGGACTACCTCCGCCTGGAGAAAGGCGGAGGGGCGTGCCGGACTCCTACCGGCTAAAACCACCCCGGTGTCCACCAACGCGTGCAGGGCCGCGGGAATCCAAACTCTTCCGCAGACCTAATTAACACTTGCCACTAGTTCACTGTAAAATCGTTCGATCGAAATAAAATCTATTAATTTATATTTTACCGACCCTAATTCATCCTAAGAGCAATCACTTGTGATTGTTATTAAATTCTATAAGTCACACACAAGCTGCTTACAATTATCAATTTTATTAATCTGAATAGATTAAGAACCAATTTTATCCAACCAATGTTATTATTAACCCAATTTTATTAATCTAAATAGATTATTCATTAGATTAGAGATTCATCAATAGATTCTTTATTAATCTGAATAAAATCTTTGTGTATGACCTGATTGCATCATTGACTGACAATGATTTCACGAAGCCTCAAAAGGAACAGCTGAATATAGAATGAGGATTTCAGTTTGATTTTTTAGAATTACAAGTTCAAGTTACCAAGTACCGTCAAGATAGTTATATAAAGGTATATTACCCATCCTTAAAGGACACTCGTCGTGGCCTAAAGGATAAGACGTCCGGTGCATTCGTATCGAGCGATGCACTGGTGTTCGAATCTCGCTGGCGGGTACCAATTTTTCTAATGAAATACGTACTCAACAAATGTTCACGATTGACTTCCACGGTGAAGGAATAACATCGTGCAATAAAAATCAAACCCGCAAAATTTTAATTTGCGTTATTACTGGTGGTAGGACCTCTTGTGAGTCCACACGGGTAGGTACCACCGCCCCGCCTATTTCTGCCGTGAAGCAGTAATGCGTTTCGGTTTGAATGGTGGGGCAGCCGTTGTGACTATACTGAGACCTTAGAACTATATCTGAAGGTGTGTGGCGCATTTACGTTGTAGATGTCTATGGGCTCCAGTAACCACTTAACACCAGGTGGGCTGTGAGCTCGTCCACACATCTAAGCAATAAAATAAAAAAAACAGAAGGATTTAAAATGTCTTGATGGAAAGTTCTATTCTCTTGTTATATTTTGCAAAATTTGCTGCATTTACTTTTGCAGCATTGGTTACCATGGACTAGGGTCTATACCTGGTTGTAGTTAGTACCTATGTTAAAGATACAAAATTCAGATCTGACTTCTGGTGTCATAATTCTAATGGCAGGCTGTTAAATGTGGAATGCTTAACTTTATTTCTTGTAAAATAATAAATAGAACATTATTAAATATAATTTCAATAGCATTACCTCAAGGAATTTGGTAAAATCAATCAAGTTAGCATTATAGTGTAATTTAAATGCATACCTGTGAATTACATAGACTGCCAATGCAGATAGATTGTTGAAATAAGACAAACATAACATGCTGTGAATGCTAAAACAGTTACCTTGTCAAATGGTAATCGGTAAAGGTATCAGTGATATATAAACTGCAGAAAAATTGATGCTGCTGCTTGGCTTCAGATATGAGAAATACACTGCGGCCTAAAAGTTTAAGACTACCTTAATTAAAGTAGGAAAATAAAATAAAACTCCAATAAAATATGCAATGCTTAATTAGTCTGTTCAGTCCTCTAATAAAGCACTGATTGAGGAACAATATACTTTAACACTTGAAGGCCATACAGCTCACCGGTGGGCCTAATGTGCTATACCTTTCGGGCCAACCCAAAATCAGGGAATCAGTAATTTTTATCAACATGAGATTTTCATTCTAAAATTTATAAAATGCGATAATTTGCTCGGAAGATAAAAATTAGTGACTTTTACCACATAGTTTTCAAGATATTTTAAAAGGATATAATCTTGATTAATACTATAACTTTCTATTGGATTTGAACATTTGGCGTTCGGTTCAGCTCACTTCCATATGCGTTTTGTTTGATAGTCGCAATGGCCTAAATGAAAATACTCGATTTTTCATGTGGCGATCAACGTGTTGAAAGCGTAAAGAAATATTAACTGTCCATGCTAATAAGGCTATAGTTATCTAAACTGGTTTTTCATCAAAAAACCCTTTAAATTCTGAATTTTTCAGAACTTTCGGCATATGCGCAATTAATTTGTTGATGGTGTCTTATGATATATTGCTCCAATTTTCGCATAAAGCATTCCACATCTCTTCTTGCGAGGATGGGCCACGATTACGGACGTTCCTATCAAGCTTTTCCCACAAAAGTTCAATGGGATAGATTTTCGGGCTCTGATGAGGCCAAACCATGTTTTTAACACCTCATTCTTTGGATAATATTGTTGGAAAATGAATCCATCTCCAATTAGTCGCAATCCGGAAGTAATGGCATTTTGCTCTCAAAATTTTTGGAACTGTTCCTTTTTGGCTACAGAAGCAACCTTAAACCATAATTGAGCCACCACCATAATTGATTGTAGGGACTACACAGTCTGGAATCATCTTGTGTCCAAGACACTGCGTCGAACGTAAATTCTTCGTTTTGAATCGAATAGTTCAAACTTGGATTCATTGCTCCAAAGAACTTTTTTATAATCTTTTTCAGTCCAATCTCAATGGGCAAAAGCCCATTGCATCCGCTTTTTTCTTGTTTTGTGCCCGTAGCAGAGGTTTTCGAACGCCGACGCGACTATAAACTTAGCATTTCTCAATCGCCGTCTTACTGTAGTTAATGATAAAGGTTTTACTCGGATTTTGTTTACTTCAACGCGGATTTCTGATGCTGTTAAGCGTCTATTTCGCTCGCCGGTAACAATAATGAAATTATCTTCACTAGACGTGGCAGCTCTCGGCCTTCCCGAGCGTGGATTATCCTGAAAATGGTCCGTATCCCTGTATCGAGTTATTGTGTTATGAACACAAGCCTTCGAAAACTTCAGTTTTGAAGCAATCTCACGTTCGTGTAAAATAACGATGGCAAAACGCACTTCACTGCTAAGTTCGCGTGCTTTACCCATTTCAAGATATCTTTACTGTAGAAACCACAAGGTTCGACTAATTGAGATTGTGAAGAAACCCAAGTAAACTCAGGTAATAAGAAGTCGGAAACACGTGTTTTCAGGAGCTAAAAAATCCTAATTATTGACAAATGCGAAACAAAAGCAAAGTAATTAGTAATGAGCACATCATAAAACTATTTTTATGACTCTACCACCTCCCTCTAGAAAAAGGTCGATTTGATCCTGGCTGAGCACAACATCCATAACTCTAGTTTTCCAGGTTTCATACCTGTATTGAAAATAAAGACATTATATATAGACATATTTTCAATCGATAAATGTGCCAATGCGTCTATACCGTTTTTTGTAAGCATTAATGGGTTTACGTTTTCGTGGTAAATTTCTATGTTCACTGTATCGCCGGAGTTTCAAGTCCTGGTTTTCTAAGGGGAAGGAGTGGGTCAAATCTTATCAAATTGTATAATTTAATTTTTTAATCAAACGATTCATTCGGGTGTAGTTGATGTAAAATATCCAAATCTATATATATAAAAGTGAATTGCTGTTCATTAGTCTCACTAAAACTCGAGAACGGCTGGACTGATTTGGCTAATTTTGGTCTTGAATTATTTGTAGAAGTCCAGAGAAGGTTTAAAAGGTAGATAAATATGAAAATGCTCGGAGTTAAATAAAAATAAAAATTTTGTTTTTCGTTTGATGTGTCCCCCGTCGGACAGATTCCTTTTGTTTGTTTTTTTTTTTTTATACAAAAGTTTTTTACTTCTATTTATCGATTGAGGCACTACGAAGTCTGCCGGGCCAGCTAGTGTTTAATATAAATAAGATTACGTTTCTTTAATTTTAATAACTGATGTAAAATATGTTGACTAAAATCATCTCGTCAATATTGTTGTTTTCAAAACAGTACTTACTGCTCTGCCGAAATCATTTTGCAATCGAATCAATTACGATGTATTGTTATTTGGCCTTGAAATCATTGCTCGAATTTCATAGTCTGTGTGTGATAAGGTAGTTTCCAGGAAAATTTGGTTTACATTTATTATTTACATTATTTGGAAGTCGTCGTGGCCTAAAGGATAAGACGTCCGGTGCATTCGTATCTAGCGATGCACCGGTGTTCGAATCTCGCAGGCGGGTACCAATTTTTCTAATTAAATATGTACTTAACAAATGTTCACGATCGGCTTCCACGGTGAAGGAATAAAAATCGTGTAATAAAAATCAAACCCGGAAAATTATAATTTGCGTAATTACTGGTGGTAGGACCTCATGTGAGTCCGCACGGGTAGGTACCACCGCCCCGCCTATTTCTGCCGTGAAGCAGTAATGTGTTTCGGCTTGAAGGGTGGGGCAGCCGTTGTAACTATACTGAGATTTTAGAACTTATATCTCAAGGTGGATGGCGCATTTGCGTTGTAAATGTCTATGGGCTCCAGTAACCACTTAACACCAAGTGGGCTGTGAGCTAGTCCACCCACCTAAGCATAAAAAAAATACATTTATTGTCGAATCACTACGTGGCATACCGAGAAAAACTAAAAAGAATAATAACTTTTCATATTGTTTCTAATATCGTTAATTTAATAATATCGTTTTTTTTCGAACTACCGTTTACTTATTAGCTGACTCTGAGGTTAAAGCATTTTTTCCGACCGGCGTTGGTGACCGTCGTGACTTATGACCTTCGACACCCAATATGACTGAAGTCGATATATAATCTTTGTGAACCCCATTATCTTGCAGAAATAAGGCAGCGGAGTATGAGAGCAAGACTTCTGGATTTTTTCACACCTATCAGGCCCAGCCTATTTCTCATGATCGGAAATAAGTACCAAACAAAGTCCCTCTTTTTGCTTAGTTCCTATACTCATAAATCTTTTTTTCTTATTGTTTAGCCGAGTGGACGATCCAGTTCACTCGGTGTTAAGTGGTTACCGGAACCTATAGACATCAACAACGTAAATGCCGCAACCCACTTTGAGACATGAGTTTTAAGTCTCAGGTCAATTATACAACGGCTCTACTCTTGAAACTGAAACGCATTACTGCTTCACGGCAGAAATGGCAGAGTGGTAGCACCTACCCGTGTGGACTCACAAGAAGTCCTACCACCAGTTATTACGCAAATTATAATTTTCGCGAGTTTGATTTTTATTGCATGATGTTATTCCTTCATTGTGCTAGTCATTCTTGAATATATGTTAAGTACGTATTTCATTAGAAAAAACGGTACCTGCTTTAGGGATTCTAACTCCGGCGCAGTCGCATCGCTCGATACAAATGCACTGGGTGTCTTATCTTTTAGGCAAGATGAATTCGTTTTGGGAAATATCCTACGAAGCGCACTCTTACTTTAATGTCACAACGTTAAAAGAGCTCAAAATCTCGCCATTGGCCTAGAATTTTAGCAGTGTACGCAGAAATTGTGGGCACTGATGAGATGGGCTAACATGAAGCTCTCATTCGTTTCGGTTCGAAGGATAGAATTAGAATATCTAGTCAAAATCTCGTATACAGATAAATACATAATAATATGATACAGAGAAACAGAAAGTTGTCAGAGGATCTCTAATTCTAAATTTGTTCAGCTAATGATCAAAGTTACGGGATCCTGGCCCCAAGCCACTATAACTATTTTTTTGTCTTTATATATATGTGAAATATTGAAAACTTATTTTGTTCGCAGCTCTGGTTGGTGCCTTGACTATGGGTATGACGTTTTTGTTGTCGCCTTTGTCTGGAGTGCTGACAGGAATAGTGGGAATACGCTTGACGGCTGTATTAGGCGGAACCATCGCCGCACTTTGTTTAATTGTATCTTCGTTCGTTGTTGACAACATCAATGCTCTCTATTTTACATATAGTATTATGTATGGTCTGGGAGCATCTTTTGCTTATACCCCGTCTCTAGCAATATTGGGACACTATTTCAAAAAACACTTGGGCTTAGTTAACGGTCTTGTAACAGTAGGAAGCTCTGTTTTCACTGCGTTCATACCTTCCCTCATGGAGTATATGCTGAATAATTACGGTTTGCACTGGTTGTTTCGGTTCTTAGGTCTTTTGACATTCGGCGTTGCTCTTTGCGGCTTGCTGTTTAAGCCCTTAATGAATATTCCAAAACCTTCGAGAAGAGATGGAAATCTCAAATCCTTTTTAACGAAAATAATCAATATACAAATTTGGAAAAACAGAAAGTATAGATTTTGGGCATTATCGATGCCTGTAGCTTTGTTTGGCTATTTTGTGAGTTACGTTCACATTAAAAAGTTTATGAATAATAATTTTCCCGGTGCTAATTACAATGTGCCTTTACAGTGCATAGCGATAACATCTGGTATGGGTAGATTATTGTTTGGAGTTTTAGCTGATAAACCAGGTATAAACAAAATTTTGTTGCAACAAATTTCTTTTTATGTAATAGGAATTCTGACAATAGCTTTGCCATTTGTTAGATCTTTCTCCATGGTAGTGGTCATTTCACTTGGAATGGGTATATTTGATGGAGCGTTCATCGCCCTCATAGGGCCAATCGCTATTCAGTTATGTGGTAGAGCATACGCAGCTCAAGCAATAGGTTGCATGTTAGGGATGTCTGCAATGCCACTTTCCGCGGGTCCACCGATCGCTGCTTATATACATCGATTAAGTGGATCTTATACGTTACCTTTCGTTTTGGCGGGAATATCGCCTATTGTTGGGGCAACTTTAATGTTTTCCGTACATTTCCAACGGCAAAATGGAGAGACTGAAATTGTTACTAATGGCCACGCTCCTTCAGATGTTGGTGAGTTGCGTTATAATACATTTTAAATAATATTAATAATTTCAGTATAAATCATGGTTTTACTTACTACATTACAGAAAAATCGATACCGCTGCTAGTTTCAAATGGGAATGCTAAACAACAGACAGCTTTATAACAACTAGAGTACATTTGCGGCCGTTGTTTTATGAGCAAGAAATTTCTGTTTTATACCACATTTTTCATGTATGCAATTTACCTTGTAAGTAACATGAAACTGTTCATTTACTTGGCATTATGGGTGTAATTTATTCCGTACATGTCTATTTCTGCATTTAAATGCATTGTTTTTAGTTACCATTTAAAGTTCCTAGTTTATTATGTTTAGTTTTATTTATATAGTTTTTAATTATATTTTTAATACCGTGTTACCATGTTATTATTTTGAAAAATTAAATATTTTCAATGGATATATTGCAAACTGAAATTTTATTTGAATAAGTATATTAAGTGTTGAAACGAGACGCTGTAATAAATTTATTTCGGACAGTACCACAATTGTACCTACAGTAAAACAGTTCAAACTAGAGTTAAAATATTTTAGATTGTTTTTTTAATAGTGACTTCTTTCGGATTTTCTCCACAATGTTGGTTATTACGGATTAGGGTCTATAATTATAATAATATTCTCATAGTGCATAATGTGTATACAGGTTACCCTCCTATAAAGCGGTAGATACGTTCCTACAAAATCCTGTGTTGTGCGAAGCCGTCTTATATGAGATTAGAAGCCAGCACAAAAAAGAGAGTAATTTTTCTGAATGAAACATCATATAAATCATCATGTAAATTTTCGGATATTCCCATATATTGTGTGTTCATAGTGCTTAATGTAATTTTTTAAATAATTTTAAATCTCGTTATCGTGTTGTAGAAGTACCGTGTTATAAGAGGGTTTTGGGGAATTTTGCTTTTCATGTTAGAGTGGAACCGTATTATAAAATACCGTGATATGGGAGGGTTATCGGTATTATTGATTCGAATTATCTTATTTTCACGGTGTGACATGTACACCATGCAACTATACTTTCTAACTAATAGAAAAGTTGACGGGATATTGGGACCTTCTAGTATATAATTATATTTTTTTAACACGTCCCTGTATTAAATTATCCATTGTGCCATTGTACATCTTCAAAACAATAAATTGCGGTACAACTAAATTAATACCTATTTTTTCTTACTCATGAATATTTTAACCGAACTAAATACGTAATCAGCGTTTTAAAATTCCATGAAAATTTAACGATCTAAATTTTATTGGTGTAAAAGTTTTTTTTTTGTGAGAAATACAACCGCAGTTTATTCTGTCTGTTCTTTTCCTCATATCTATGTCGGGATCACGACGGTCAATATGTTGTTATTTGGCTATTTTCGTTCCGATCATCAGTGTCACACTTTAAATATTAAAGAAGGAATACTAAATTGGAGATGGATATTTACTAAAGTCAAATTATTGTCGAGCCACATTCCCATAGTTTTCAAATACTATAAATACACTATGAAATTGTTCAGCCAATCTTAGTTTACTTTGGAATTTCTTAAATTATTTTTTATTATTCTAATCGGAAATTTTAAAAATGTAGTAATATAGTCGGTAATATATTCGAAATAATTCGAATATAGAATTAATACTAGCAGTAGAATAAATAAATTTTGTACAACCGTAATTTTTGTTGTCGACACTATGTTTCAAAAGTGGTTTTTATTACGCACCTACAGTGAAATTTCGTTGCGATTTTCAAAATTATGTATGTATAATAATATACCGAGAGGTGAAAGACTATTTGGTTTAAGCGACATTTTTGCAACTTTACATGAGAGCCATAGTTGAAAATTTGGAAAAAATATCTAGACAAAAAACTTCTTCAGATATTTGAATGGGGTAGCCAAAATTGAAGTTCAGTTAAAAACATTGGAACTGTTGATGCTAATACCAAATCAAACGCATCTTTAATTATAAAGATAAATGTTGCGTATTAAGCAAAATTTATAGCTGATATAGAAGGTTAATCTTGCGTGGAGTAGGACTAAGCATGAAACATGACAAAATAATTGTAGAAAAATACAAATGTGTTCTACAAATTACCTGTGCATTTTCTCTCTGTGAGGCTTAAAAGTACTATTCTTAAGGTCATTAGATTATTCAATGCCTCTCAAACTAAACATAAACAATTTAGACACGAATATTATTAAGGCGATTAAAGTAAAAATATTACTATATATGGTAATATGCCTTATAGATCATATTATTGCCGTATTTACATTGAATTTGTGTAGTTTATAAATATTTTATGGAATAATATCTCATAAACACTTAACGTTAGGGAACCGTGTCTGTAAGCAATAGGTAGTAATTACGGTGATTCCGAATTGATTGAGTGCGGGTTCATATGAAGTTACTAAATTTTACCAATTAGACAAGTATTTTTTGTTAATAAAGTTTAATAATAAAGTTAATAAAATTTCTAGTGCTCGTATCTTACGGATTACAGCCCGTTTCCTCTAATGAATAGGTACGTAATACGTAAAAAATGTATTTATTTAAAAGTGTTGCTATAGTAGACATTAGTCGATGACGTTAGGTAGGTAAGAGGTCATTTGTTTTATTAAATAGTGCATTTTTTATTCATTATGTCATGATCATAATAATTTATAAATGTTTTTTAAAGTCTAACGGAGTTGAATCGTTATAGTCCAGTATGAATTTCAATTATAAAAAAATTAGCAATAATTTAACAAAATCACAACGATGTGTGATAATTAAATTGCATGCATAATCAGATGAAGATGAATTATTCAATAAAATTGATTAAGTATATATATTTTTAAAATGATAAATTTTTACAGTAACTACATATTGTTAAGTGATAATGTGCCTTCATATCTACAATAATGCGTCACACGTTTGTATTACAGTTTAATTGATTTACGCATCAAATAATTGCTAATGATAATGGTTCTTTGTTCAAATTAGTGGATGTTAATATTTTGCGATTGTTTATTGTATACGTTTATTTATCAAAAGTACGTTAGGTATATTGACTGTGATAGTGAAACCATAATCATTGATCATTTACTTAGATAATCTATGTAAATCATAGGTATGTAAGAATAAAAATACATGTAACTCTTGTTATTTTTAGTAACCTAGTAACAATTATAAAATGTAATTTGCATACTGTTGAAGTTTTGTATGAACATGTAAATATATATTTTTTTCACGGTCAGAAGTATTTATTTATTTAAATCAAAAAAAATATCGGCATTGACAAATTTAACGAATCTTCACTCGAATTTTGAATTGCTCGAAATAACACAATTATATCGATATAATATCTAGCTTACATTGAAATGTACAAAAGAACTAAATAATAAAATTGTGCATTGCTAAAAAAATAGAACTATGAATACATATGTATTTGATTTACTATGTAAAGGCTCCCAAGGGCAACGTGCCGATATACTAAATAAAATTTTATTAAATAAATATCTTTGTTTTATTTTGTAAAGTCCATTTTGTGCGAAGTAAGTGCAAGCATTTATTGTACTTTTATCTCTACCGGACAAACTGCCCAGTAGAGATAAAAATTACGCATTGAGCGAGAATAACACTGAAGTATGAATCTATGGAGAACAACGACTAATGGTATAAACAAACAAGCATCTCCGCTGCTCTACCATATTTTGAGAGTTAGCAATTCGTAGCAGAAATGTCGATAAAGTAGTCGTTATTTTCAATTAACCTAATAGACCAAAATAGTAAATTGTTCTGACGGTACTTTAGCAATAAGCGAGCTTATTAAGTGGAAACGTCATCCTGTGGCTGGTCGTCTTTTCTAGCATGATCTTAAGCGATACTAGTTTAAGACTTCAAAATCGTTTCACATAGATGATATTTACATCCGAAAAAATCTACGTGTACAAAATTCGTCCAATGGTAATTTTAAAAGTAAAGAAAAGTAGGTGCTGATATTTTTTAATTGATCTAATATAATTCCTCACATGAAAGGGATTTATCTACTTAAATTATATCCGTTGCCGAACAGTTATTGGTATTTATTATATATTTGTTACTTTTGTAGGCAGAGGAGTAGGTATACGGCATAGTGAATTGCTAGGGACGCGAAATCAGCAATCCCAAAAGCAAGCCGCTGCTCACCTATATGTACATGACTTTATAATATTCTGTGAGCTCTCGTTCATGAATTTTTGAATGATGTTCTCAATATTAATAATCTTAAAATCAAGTCCGTACCAAATACGTAATTTAAGCCAGTGGTGATTTTTTATATTGAGAACGACTTTCTAAATTAAACACTTAAAATATTGGTGAGAGTTTCTAAACTATCTTTTTTTATTTTTATTACTTAGATGGTTGGGCGAGCTCACAGCCCACCTGGTGTTAAGTGGTAACTGGAGCCCATAGACATCCACAACGTAAATGCGCCACCCACCTTGAGATATAAGTTCTAAGGTCTCAGTATAGTTACAACAGCTGCTCCACCCTTCAAACCGAAACGCATTACTGCTTCACGGCAGAAATAGGCAGGGCGGTGGTACCCACCCGCGCGGACTCACAAGAGGTCCTACCACCAGTAAAAACTACGTTAGAAATAAAACTGAACTATCTTAGTAAAGTAGTGATTCTAATTTATGTTACTTCTACGGTTTTATCCGATTATATCCGATGTTTCGAATATTTGACAATTTTCGATCAAAATTGTCGACGATTTGTGGAACCGAAGTGAAGAATGAAAATAATATGTTATGTTATGTTATTAGTTAACGGAACTCTATTCCCATGTGATCATATTAATAAATAATTATTATTAGGTAACCGTAGAAAATACGATTTCGAGTTAAGTCAAATCATATCAATAGACAACAAACGCTATGGCAATATCAATGATCTTATGTTCAGAATTAGAAACATAAACGCTAAAGGTGTTTATTTTAAAATACACAAAAGAAGAAACAATATCAATTAGTACCTGAAGCATTTAAAGCAAAATATCAAAAGCTAAATTACGTATACCTATAATAGACGTATTGTTTTAAAGTAAAAATTAAATCTCACGCGTCAGAACTTGCCTCTTCTGTTATCTTTGCTTATAATTAATACATTTTATGTTTAAGGAAAATATACAACAGATGCGTATGTACCTTAGGCAGATGTGTCAATTTCTAAAATTCTTGTTAGTGATGTGAAGCTGCCATTAAAAATATAATAGACTAGCGACTAGTTTAAAAAAAGTTGCCTATGTTCATCAGGGACAATGTCGGCTTCTAATGGAAAAAGAATTTTTCAAATCGGTCCAGTAGTTTCGGAGCCTATTCGAAACAAACAAACAAACAAATCTTTCCTCTTTATAATATTATTAGTATTAGTATAGATTATTTTGTCAGACGTCCTACCACGAAGAAAAATGGAAAAAACCTAGAATCCGATCGCAGTACGATATAGTTATATCGTGTCTATCCTTGAATTCAGTATTTCTTTACTAAGAGCGCAAACACACACAAACTGTTTATCAAGGTATGCATGTGGATCTACGCCTTGATTAATTGCATACACAATAATAATTTAATATTGAACTAAGTCACTATAGTACCTACATCTAACAATTTGGTGTGAAATGGCTGCACTAACGCAAAAGTAATATGGACGAAAACATAACTGCTTTTTGAGGTTTTAATGTAATCGTCTTAAATTGCGTATAATCCCGGAAAACAATTTCCAAATTCGTGCACATCCAATAGGTTTTGCCGGTTGGCGATCCTCAAAGATCATCGACGTGACTTGAGCAGCACTTCCAAAAGAATGGACTCTCATTTCTGTTTCTTCTTGAGAAGGCGAATTCGTCTTTTGTGTGGCCCAACGAAGTGGCTTCGATAACCTAATAGTCATATATTTATTGTAAAAAATGTAAAATTCTTGTACTATGATGTGAGTAATCATTTAGAAAGGAGCTTTTCAAAGAGTTCATAGCGCTATACAGCGGCTTGACTATGTCTAAGAGTAATAGAAGCCACTTTCGATCTGGCACATGCATGTTGGCTATAAGCAGTATGGAATTTTTTATATTACTTGACTGAAATTTTGGAATTATATTCCGTTTATTTTTTTGTATTCTCTGTAGTACAACAACCTCATTATTTCAAATACAATATCATGTTACGCTAAGTAGCTTACGACTCGAGGATCGTATGGGTCGGTTTAGTAAACTAGTTGACGAAGGTACCTATCGAGATTACAAACATGGAACCTACTCTGAAAAGTAATCCATGTCTTCCAAGACATCTGGTAGCTCTCGTCTATCCACGTCGAGAACCATAAAGCACAGTCCTATGAGCACAATCGTTACCAACGCCTCAGTACATATCTGTGTTACGTTATTTGTTGGTGTTAAAAGAAGAATAGTATAACTTATTATAGATCCCAGTTGACCAGCCGCATGACAACAACCGAAGATAGTAGCTCTTATATTGATGGCGAATAAGCGCGGAGTGACATTCAAAATCAAAGCATGAACTGTGATTCCGGATCCAAGTGCAATTGAAAGTAACAACCGTCTACTTGTATTCTGCGGGAAGAGAAAAAGATGTTTCGAATGAAATCAATAATATATAACCGATTAATTCTATTTACTAAAATCTTCAACTGAAACGAGCAGTTTATCTAAAAAGAAATAAAACTAAAACTTTTCTAAAATGGGTAATTGATTATGTTCATGTTTTATTATTTTCAAATCTACTTATACGAGTATGTATGTATACTTGATCGTCGTGTCTTTAAATTAGATGCCGGCGCAACGTCACTATTTAGTTAACTAAAAATAGTTAAAGTTAACTGTTGCCTTAATTTTACGCATGTCAACAACTGTTTAAGACGGTATTCAACATAATGACTAAGCTACCTCCACTTTCTCCCATCTGGGCTACCAGAATTCAGAAATTCTCCAATTCCAAAACCATTATTATATTATTTAGGTACAATTAATATTAGGTACGTATGTATGTACATTAGATAACATTTGTTTTGTCATTCCGAGCTTTGTTCTAATTTGTTCAAACAATATCTTAGGCTATCAATAAGTAATTAAAGTTCAGGTCACGACAAAGTACACTGTGGATTGGATTTACACAAATTCGTAAAGGAATGATTGATAACATTGTTATGTATCTACGTCTTAACTCATCTTTTTTGTATTATTTAACTCATATTATTTGCATTATTAGTTGTATTTAAATGAAATGGGTCACATTACACGATATTCTATCATCGAGGAAGGCGATCTAAAATATTGCATAAGTATATATTTGCGTAATAAAATTGTTATCTTGCTTGCTTGGATATGAACTCCGACTCGCATCATACAATACGACCTTGTGTTACTCGGACAATAATGACGATAATTAATTGAAATAGCAGTTATCCCCCATTTCGTACTGTACTCGTGGTCATTTCTCAGTAGAAATGAAAAATACTGTGGTACCAATTCACAGGCACATGCACCATGACAGCGGTACCTATTCAAGTAACAATTTAGGGAAAATGCGTAAATGAGTTCCAGTAGGATGTTTCGGCGATTATGATTCTTTTTTATTGCTTAGATAGGTGGACGAGTTCACAGCTCGCCTGGTGTTAAGCGGTTACTGGAGCCCATGAACATCTACAAAGTAAATGCGCCACCCACCTTGAGATATAAGTTCTAAGATCTCAGTATAGTTACAACAGCTGCCCCACCCTTCAAACCGAAACGAATTACTGCTTCACGGCAGAAATAGGCGGGGGGGTGCTACCTACCCGCGCGGACTCACAAGAGATCCAGTAATTACGCAAATTATAATTTTGCGGGTTTTTTTTTATTACACGATGCTATTCCTTCACCGTGGAAGTCAATCTTGAACATTTGTTGAGTACGTAATTCATTAGAAAAATTGGTACCCGCCTGGGATTCGAACATCGGTGCATCGCTCAACACGTATACACCGGACGTCTTATCTCTTAGGCCACGACGACTTAAAGAGACTATAAAATGTGAGTCTATGAAGACCGACATAGCCATAAAGCTTGGTTTTTTTACTGTTGCTATACCCATTAGCATACCTGATGTATTTTAGTGTGAATTACTTTTGAGTACCGTATTAAATTATGTGACTAAATTAACATAACGTCATAACAAAATTAATGTATTTATAAAATCGAATTACCTTATCAAAAAGTTTAACGCACGCTGTCAATACTCCAGTAACAACTACGTGAATGAATAGCAAATGTTTGAAAGGAATCTTGGCGGATAGTATAATTGTCAGGCACGCGACCAAACATCCCAAGCTGAACACTTCCAGTAAAAAAAGACTCGTGACAACTTCACTGTAGATTTGAACATATAAACAGCTCCATAGAAAATTGTACAGGATCCAAAATATAACAATCACTATGCACGTTACTCTGACGTTGTGTGTGGTTAGAAATCCTAGGCATGTTGTTACTTGATCCAAACAATAATAAGCCTGAAACATGATCTACGTATTTATGCAATTGTGCTTTTAAAATCGAGACTGAACAGAGACATGAAATGTTTGAACAATTGATAAACCACACGGCTTAAGTTCTCGTGGCCAGATCTTACCGGAAACCACAATCGGTTATATTTCAACCAGAATAAATATTGCTCTCATCAACGTGAGGAGATTACATAATTTATACGATTTATTGTTTATCTTAGGCGTTTAAAGACTATTGCAATAAAACAGAATTGTTTTTAAATACTCGTAGTTGTCTAACTTTCGTAAATGACCGAAGGAAATATTTAGATCTTCGATCAACAATGTTAAGCACGTTCGTTGACGGTTGAAGTAGGGACAGCGAGAGCAATGCCTACATATTGCGGATCATGCTAAAAATGCGCTAGTCTGATGCCTTGTCACACATCCTGATGGATCCACTCTGAGTGCTGTTAGACGCCTCCAACACTAGCAGCAGTCATCGCGTAAAACATAATAGCACATTTTCTTTTAATGTAGTATTATTTTGTACAATAAAGTAGGTATATTATAATCTATGTTTTTTTTTTGCTTTTATGAAGTAGCTTACAGCTAATCCGGTGTTAAGTAGTTACTAGAGCCCATAGAAATCAACAACGTAAATACCGCCACCCTCCCCGAAACATGAGTTCTAAGTCACGGCTCTATAGCCCAACGACCCAGCAAGGACTGGAAGTACGACCATTCGGCCTGTTCTCTGCTGCGAAGAAATAATTCGTTCACGTTTGAAGGATAGATAGCTATCATCTTCTAGTACAATGGGGAATTCGATATCATATCTCAAGTTAGTTGACGGCATTAACTGCTATGGACCCTGGCCAGTCCTCAACTAAAATAATATTATATATTTAATGTTGATGTCGCACCAATCATTATTTGCTAGATGATAATACAGCCACGATAGATAGATGGCGCTAGTGCACACAAAACGAACATGTTGAGTTTCGATCGTAAAGTAAGAAATTTAATTGAGCGTGATACGTTTAAAAATTGAGAATAATTATAAATACATTTACTAATATATGTTTATCAAATTAATAAATACCAATTGTTTGTTTTCTCGACATCGAATATGAGGTAATGTATTTATGTGTATTATCTTTATCATGGAGGTGTTAATTAACATGCTTCCTTACGTATCTAGCGGTAAAGTCACAAACTCTGTACACCACCATCTATCGAGCATGGATGTAATTTCTTACATTTTTGCCTTTTGCATCCAGACCGAATGTGAATATACATAGATTTGCACGTCTTATTTTAGGTACTTTACAGTATATGTATGATTATTTTAAATCACATTTTAATATTTAATTAAGTTTATAGTTCATCTATGTTCTTATTAATATTTTTTTAAATTGCCATTGCCAGACGAGCTTACGTGACTGGTCACGTGTGGTCATAAAAGACAGGGGTACGTACAACCAGGTCGTTGCCTAATATTAAGTATTCTGTTCTGTAATGTTGATTTGAAGTATGTTATGTCATAACACCTGGAAAACACTGAGGACAGAGCTCATTTTAGAGCCGAATGATATCTCTGTGGCGATTAAAATGAACTCTACGAATGCTCAGTAAATGAATGCTATGGTTCTAGGTCGCAAAGACGAACTCTCGCGTGAAGGTGGATAGTGCGATGTTCATCGTAAAAGCGACGCGCCACGATAACCCTCTTATCGTAGCCGCCTTGAATTACATACCCGACCCAGAGGACGGGGCAACGAACAGCCGCCGGATCGAACGATTTCGGATCCTCTCAGGTCTGTTAGGCATTCTAAGCACTAGTTACCGTTTTCGTTAAACTCTTCGAATGCAACTCTAAGAGTCACTTCAGCGTGCAACTTAACCTACAGAGACCACTCACTCGGTTTCTCGCTGGATCTGCTCAGTGGATCGCGATTCCGACCCGGTGGTAGATTCAGCGAAGCACTGTTCTTATTAGGGCAGAAATTAATAAACATCTCAGGCTGAGCCTTGTGAGCTCGCCATCACTTAAGGTAAAGCCAGAATAGTCCCTTGAGAATACCGACGGATAGGTAGACAAAAAAAGCTGTGATGAAATAATGGTGTGGTGATCTCACAGTTTCGATGTGTTTTGATATTTTTGCGGTACTATATTGTCTTATTATGCCATATTTGACACATTACAATTACTTTTGCTCATTTAACCCTCGCTGTACCTACGTAAAAGAGACAAAACATATCATGCATTCTTTGATGCAAAGGGTATAACTTCCATTACCCTGAACGTAATAAAAATGACATCGAATTATAACGATATAGCGGATCGAGTGCACGTACTTTGTGGTCTGCAGGTTTTATCTTAAAATCATTGCATAGTTTAATGCCATTCCTCTTTGCGGCCATGAATAACAGCTTTTCTGTTTTGTGAATCATTCCATTAAACAGTAACCATTGTGGTGATTCTGGATACCATCTGAAAATTTAAAGAATCCCTGGAATTGAAGTCCTGTTTTCGTAAATAATTTTCTTAGTATTTATTTCTTATTATAAAAAAAAAACTATTCAATTGAATTAAATTATGGTTCATCGGGTATCCTTTCTCATTTGATGGGCCCGCTAGCTCCAATCACTGTGCAATCCTGATAAATATAGAAATGGGCCCCGCCTCCAACGTTTCTGCTTATTATATTATAGATGGACCGAATATGAATTATGTCATTGACGATACGCACTTTTGAAGTGATGGAAATTATTTTATTAGCGCGATTGATTTGGAATTTTATGTTTCCTGACTTAAGCGTGTACTTTTCTAAACCTGTTTTTATTTGTTATGCAGATATGGAGGCTCTCATGCATTTATAACGGTAGTAAGTACCAACACGTAGATACAAATGTACGAGCAGATATTTAATAGCTGGAAACACACAGTCCTTGGGTATTACAGTACAATTAATGAATTTTAACAGTAGAAACACAAAAATGGCTAAGTAGGTATATGGTTTATATCATAAGTTTCCAGTGAAGACAAACCATAATAATAAGACATAGTCGCTGACAACGGGCGTTATCACAAAACCATCGTCACTAAATGATAAATAGTGAGGACTATACTCGAAATATCCCTGCGAGATCCAATCAAAAATGAGGTCACAGAAGAACCAAGGTAACTGACATAGCCCGAAGGATTGGGAGGTTCGAGTGGCAGTGGTTAGACACATTTGTCGAAGATTAAATGGCCGCCGGGACCAAAAACATTCTAGAGTGGTAATCATACAATGGAAAATGCAGAGTGGGTAGGCCTCCCAGGAGTTGGAGCAAGGACCTTCTAAAGGCAGCGAGAAACTGATGGATGCGGGCTGCGTAGGACCGGTCATTGTGGCGAACCTTGAGGGAGGCTAAGTCCAGCAGTGGACGTCCGTGGGCTGATGATGATAACACAAGTAGTCAAAGTAATATAGCATCAACATTATTTACGGAATGTTTGGAAAATTACCTGAGTAAAATTAGGTATAGTAGTCCCAGCATGCTTCCGATCAGGCTGTAAGTTTCAATATTAGGAAGGCTGTTTGTTAAAGGAACCATATACACGTAGGCGAGTAATCGTGGCATTGCTACTATGAAGCAGAGACGGGAGCGCCATTCATTGCTTGCAATTTCGCAAACTGTTTGGAATAATAACTAAGTAATTAAAATACCTGTGATTGAAATAAGTAAACGTGCAGCTATATATTATGTATACGATCTCTGCATTAACATTCAGTGTCTTCAGAATTTATCAACAATATTAAATAATTAAAAAAATATCTTAAATGATATAACTTTCAATCTGTATTTCTACTTGTATTATGTATCTACTTGTATTTTTAATGTTTTTCAAATACTAAGAATCGATTAAATACAAACAATGCATTGTAAGTCAAAAAAAACCTTGGCCTGTTAGCAATCACTAAAAAATAATCGTTTGCGATATCATTATGAAGACAATACACTATATTGAATACAGTAAGTACAACGTACCTGTAATATAATATTATAATCTTATTTTTAACCTAATAAATAATATTTAATACTTGATATAATAAAGCTTTTAATTCAAGTAAACAAACACATTAATCTAGTTAATGAACCCAAGTTTTTAGTTAATTATATTTTTAATGTCTCGATAAGTAGACGACCGTTTGATGAGTAGAGGAAGGGCGGTCACATCATACATGATCATCAGTTTCGACATTGCTAATCTTAATTAAGAGGTAGTCAACAAGAAATCGGCAGCGGAAAACGCATAAGTTTCTACGACTATCGTATTTGCCTGAAGTTCAATATATTTGGGCCTGAAGTTATAATTCACTATGCTTAGTGCGAGTTTTTTAACGTTCTCGATGGCGTAAAAGTTCGCCCAATTTTGTAAGCAGTTGGAACAGCGCCCCTAGCGGCAAACGTAGGCAAACTATCCCATGCCATACAAATGTGAGCTAACTTTTACGCTATCGAGAACGTTAAAAAACTCGCACTAAGCTCACAGAATAAGATATGTGTTTCTAAATCGGTAACTTCTTCTTTTTAAGGGTATGCTTTTGAGTCGTCTATTATCAAAGGTGGCAATCTGTGCTTTTGGACAAAAAAAAATTATTGATATTTCAATACAGATTGATTTGAATATAATCGTCTCCTTCAAAGAATACGGTACGGAAAACCTGCATTAAATAAAGGTTAATACTTAACCTGTTATTTATCTAAGATGTCGTTCAGAAGAGTTTTGTGACTGCCAATGGAATACAAAGTCAATAATTCGTTTTTCTGATTTACCAATAATTATCCAAAAGTCACATTGCCGGCTTTGATAATAGTCAACTCTTTTTCAGTATTAGGTAGATTTTGTAAGTTGGAACGATGGCTTCAGATGAGAATGCGTGACTGTCGAAAAATAGGACGGAAGTACCTACTAAAGCCGGCCATGACGTCTTTCCAACAAAAACTTTGTTGGTGATCACATACATAATTGACGTTCAATCGGTGTTTGATGTCGAGGTGTGAAAGGCTTTTTTTTTTAATGCTTAGATGGGTGGACGAGCTCACAGCCCACCTGGTGTTAAGTGGTTACTGGAGCCCATATACATCTACAACGTAAATGCGCCACCCACCTTGAGATATAAGTTCTAAGGTCTCAGTATAGTTACAACGGCTACCCCACCCTTCGAACCGAAACGCATTACTGCTTCACGGCGGAAATAGGCGGGGTAGTGGTACCTACCCGTGCGGACTCCCAAGAGGTCCTACCACCAGTGATAATTGATGATTATGGTTTATGATACAATGATATTTGGTTTAAGCGACATTTTTGCAACTTTACAGGAGAGCCATTTAAAGTTTGAAATTTGGAAAAAATATCATAACAAAAAACTTCCTCATGGACATTCTGAATGGAGTAAATTTAATTGATGTTCAAATAAAAACATCGAGCTGTTGATGCTAATATCTATCTATATCTAAAAAAATTGATATTAGTGATAGTTAGTCTCGCTAAAACTCTGAGAACGGCTGGACCGATTTGGTAGGACCTCTTGTGAGTCCGCGGGGGTAGGCACCACCGCCCTGTCTATTTCTGTGAAGCAGTAAGTTGTAACTATACTTGAGACCTTAGAACTTATATTTCAAGGTGGGTGGCGCATTTACGTTGTAGATGTCTATGGGCTCCAGTAACCACTTGACACCGGGTGGGATGTGAGCTCGTCCACCCATCTAAGCAATAAAAAAATAAATTTTGGTCTTGAATTATTTGTGGAAGTCCAGAGAAGGTTTAAAAGGTAGATAAATATTAAAATGCTCGGAATATAAATATAAATAAAAATAACAATTTTGTTTTTCCTTTTATGTGGGGACATATAAATCACGTCGGACGGATTCCTTTTGTTTGTTTCAAGTTTATTTTATACAATAGCTTAGGTCTTTTGTTTTTCGATTGAGGCACTACGAAGTCTGCCGGGTAAGCTAGTACCAAATAAAACGCACCTTTAACTACAAAGGTAAATGTCGCGTATTGAGCGAAATGTCGCTTAAACCAAATAGCCCGTTATCCCTCGATGTAATTATTGAATTATAAGTATAATTTTCCTGTACTTTAAAATTATATATACCTCACGTACACTTTATTCATTCACACAGCGTATTTTAGAAATACCTGCCTATACTAAGCGTATGCAAAAATTACAAATTCTTACCAGTAACTAAACTTAAGTAAATATTGGCGCTTGCAAATAAAGATTTAAGAAAAACAAAAAAGAAGGACCATAATTTTGAATCGCAAAACATAAGCACCGCTCCAAGTGTAATCTCAGATATTACATTTATGATTATTGGAATTTTTCTTCCAAATCTGAAAATAATAACCTTTTAAACTGTGATTTAATAAAAACCAAACCTATTTAGGATAAAATATTCATATCTAGGCTAGATGGGTAAGAACAGGGGTACATGGGTAAGATTCATTGTTGGTTTAATACTTTGAAGAAAGGTGATTTAAAAAAGTCTAAACTTTTGGTAACTTAAAGACGATGTTGGTGGTGATGATGGAATATTTTATATATAATATTTTACTATCCCGAAATTCTGCAATAGGTAGTTAGGTACGTGCGAATTAAATAATTAACTCCAATCTTATAAAAAAAACGTAAATGAATGCTTGTTACTTGTTTATGTTTTATAATAATACTATTCCCTAAAAGTCCGTTGCAGAAAAGGTTAAAGATGTTTAAAATATTGATAAATATGTATTTATAAATATTTCATAAATATTGACAGGACAAAAACATAAATGGAAAAAATTATTACCTATCTGCAATTAAACCATAAATTATGCATCCAAGCGCTGAACCTAAGCGGCTCAATAAGGCTGCCGAAATCAGTGCTAATTTGTGATCACAGAAAATTAACCACTGCAAATATTAATAAAATACAGTTATATTTAATTAGCTACAATTATGAACATGAGGCTGATAAAGTTCTTTATAATAATATGCTCTGTATCACAATGCAAGAACAATGACCGATAAAATGCATTATTTGTCTTTAATTCATTTTTTAGCGTTACAATTACGAGTGTGGTGACAGACTTATTACTTTCATTGATAACTAGTTATTTTTGTAAACATTTTCATTATCAATATATATATTCAAAAACTTAACTTTGAAACTTAACTGGGAACTTTAATATATACTAATAATTTATTATTAAATGTCATTGGAAGGTACTAACTGTTTTCTCAAGGTTGATAAAACCCATTACTTTGATTTGCCACTCTTTACACTTCAATATCTCGGTTTTGTTATTAAAATAGGTCACAGAACATAACGTATTGTTGTACACTCCTATTTTATCTGTTACACACAAAGCATTAGGCGGCTGAAGAAGGAACATGTCTTCGTGTTGATTAAAGAAGGCGGTAAATAACATTGTANTACTAACTGATTTCTCAAGGTTGATAAAACCCATTACTTTGATTTGCCACTCTTTACACTTCAATATCTCGGTTTTGTTATTAAAATAGGTCACAGAACATAACGTATTGTTGTACACTCCTATTTTATCTGTTACACACAAAGCATTAGGCGGCTGAAGAAGGAACATGTCTTCGTGTTGATTAAAGAAGGCGGTAAATAACATTGTAGCGGAAACCATAGTAACTAGCCATTGCCATGACCCAATTTTACCAAGGACGTCCGTTGTTACATCTTCATGAATTGTTCCAATACTGAAACGATCACAACCAATTTAATATGACGTGTCACTTAGCTTACTTAGAATTATTTTTTTCATTTTATCCTAATGAATTAAGCATAAGAAAAAACTAACATTGACATATTTCACATTGTATAGCCGCATAGATTTCACAAGTCGGTTCTTCACTGTATATCATGTTTGAAAATTGTGATAAATAATGAAGTTTTTATTTTAGAATGTGGTTAACATTTTGGTTATTTTTTAAATTAATTCAGTTCATTAAGTCCTTATCAACTACATAATATTTTAACAGGTTTTATGCATGCTTGTTGTCGAAAAAAGATAATTCTTTTTACAAAATTGCTATTGTTTCCAATGTTCTGATCCAAAAACAGATACTAAAATGTAACGTATGAAAATGTTTATTTCTACATTATATTTTGGGACAGACCGTTAGCTATTTTGGCTAGAAACGTAGTAACATGCTGCTAATGGACACCTTCGGTATAGACACTGACAATTATAAATACACAATCCTCAATTCTAATGTTATTAATTTCCATGCAATAGAGCACCTTAGTAATGGGCCACGCCACGTTTACTTACGTTTTTTTCCCTACTTATTCGTCGGTAGTCTAAAGGGCTATTATAGCTACGCCCGGGCGCGATACTTACGAGTGACGTAATTTCGGCTTAAATAAAAGGTGGGATAATCTAAATTTTATATTGACTGAATGCATATGCATCCAGTTTCACCAGGACAGGTGGCCCAGTATGGGCTCAGCTAGGAGGGGCGGTATTTGCTAAAAGCCTTCAGAGTTCTTCCGAAGGAAACCTAGCATCTTCTAGCGGGCAGTTGCTTCGCGAATGCATCTACTACCGTATTGTTAACGCGACCTCCTGAAAAGATCTGGGTAGAAACTCAGCGGACTTATGTATGGGTTAGGTTTCACGTCGAACTTTTCGACGAGTTTAACCAGGGTCACTATACCTATTCATAGCGCAAACGTCCAATAACAGTGTTAGTGGATCGGATGGATACGTATGGACGTGTCTAGAGCGTCGTCGGTGACTGGCTTGCACGCGAGCCGGAGTCAGGTATTTCAGGTATTTTCTAATGGATTGGAAGGCCAGATCGTCGTGAAGATTGATGTCACAAAACAGGGCGCTTCGAAGGCTGTCCTATAAAAATTGGATTGAAGGGACTGAAGGCTATTTATATGGGTGCGGGCCACGTGAGCGAATACCACACACGCATAGATCATTATAGGCTGTATCCAAGTTTTGTAAATTATCACCTTGTTACGAATGGGCATTTTACTTCGCTTGTAGATCATGGGGATTGTGATTCTCATCCTGCCCTTGAGCTATTAAGCGTCCTCTGGGAGCGATCGGATATTTGTTAGCTAACTTTCCCCTTAGCTCGGTGAATTTGGAAAGGGCTGCGGTCAACAATCCTTTCCAAAAAGACGTATCCTACTGACCTTGGAAGATAATAAGTAGCAATTGTAATGCGTTTTTCATTTTTCAATAACCTGTATGGTGATCACAAAAAGTTGAAAATATTACAATCTATAATATTCGTATAATATCTAAACGGTTCAATCAAATTTGATTTAAAGTATTAGTCGGTTGAAGATTAAGTTCACTTATAACTTATAAAGTCTCAAAGGATTCCCCTACATTTTGTTGATCTTCTAATTTTATTCTTTTGGTGAGTCAGTCTGGTTTGAATCATGCAGTATTTATTAAATGCGGTACATTCAATTCGAAGATATAGAAACAAGTACAATGTGTGTGACCACATGAGAATAACCAAATAAAAAAGAACGATGGAAAAATATCTGAGGTCGTCCACATTAATTAAAATGTAGTTAGTCGAAATGAGATCATACTACTCTTTTTGAAGTCAGTTAAAAAGGATTGTTTGTAGAGTACGTAGATTTTATTTACATGTAACTATACATGAGACCTTAGAACTTGTATCTCAAGGTGGGTGGCGCGTTGTAGATGTCTATGGGTTCCAGTAACCACTTAGCACCAGGTGGGCTGTGAGCTCGTCCACCCATCTAAGCAATAAAAAAAACATGTATTTCTACTATGGTATCTTGTTATATAAACTACCCTTTTGGTATCAACTGTAGCAGGGTAGTTACTGGTTTCCCTGATGGTAAGTGATCGCATTATCCGTAAACAAATCTAATAGCATACATAAAAGTATGTTTAGTGTTATAAACTTATTCGTGTAATAAAAAAGTAATCTTAAGAAAGATATTTCATACGCGAAGACATGTACTGCGCCATTGACCCATACACAAATTAAGGAAAACCACATTAAATAGTGAAAATTTCCGTACACAAGCTCGCTGGCGAACAGATAAAACCAGTTCTAGATGTTAACACGTTTGTAAGCTTCGCTTGTGACTAACCACATATTATCTGTATTTTTTGTCGTATCGTCAGATTACCTATGTATAGGTATTACGACAGGTGAAAAGTTATTAAAGTTTATGTATTCGTAAAAAAATGCATTAATAATAACCGCCACCTTGCCTATTTCTGCCGTGAATAACGTCTAACGTTGTTGATGTCTATCTGTTAACCACATAGCATCAGGAGGGCCGTGAGGCCGTCCATTAATATAAGCGATGAACCAAGATGAAGAAAGCCGTTAATCTATTAGGATTAAATGGTTTCAAAGACGAACAATTTCTGAGAAGAAACCGATGAACGTAAGAATTACCGACGTATTCATGTATACTCATTGTTTTGTAAATGTACGATAATTTATGTCAGACGACGATTACGGTCTCGTTCGACAAAGAGTGCACGTCTAGCAAGAAAAGTTTGTTGTCACCAAAGTTTCCACTATAAACAAGAATTTATTTAAGGTGGAACTATTGAACTCTATCAATTTATAACTCAATTACTATTACTGTTTAAGTTGTCGTTTTTATTCACTGAAGTCGTATCCGATTCGGAATAGCCATTTGAAATATATTATGTATTCTTTAATAAAAAAGAAGTAGGTAGGAAGGTATTGGTTTGATTGCGTCGCTGATATTAGGCAGTATTTTCCTGTGCTCGGTGTTTATTATTAAAAAGGTGCATGATTCGTTTTTTGTAAAATTTTAAAATTTTGTTAAATCTCTTTTACCAATGTAATTCGTCATTGTCTTTTGATGATGGATCAGATAGAAACTTGAATTCTAGTATCTATGAATATCGAAAATACGTATGTAAATATGTATATCTAAAATATGTACCACTTGTCTGTAGGTAGATCAAGATCAAGATTTTTGAATGGGAAACAAAAGGTAGAGCTTAGAGACAAACCATAAATAATGAAATATAAGGAATCAATCTAATAATGTATTTACATTACTAACTTTACTACCTATTATAATAATTTCAATGTTATCAATATTTTAATACAAGTCTACGGTTCACCTGGTGTTAAGTGGTTACCGGTGCTTATACACGTCAAATGATGAATACCGTGACCCAACTCGAGACATGAGGTCGAAATTTCAATTGTATTTTACAATGGCTATTATTACATACCCATTAAAATAGAACACATGATTCCGTGGCAGAATGATGGTATCTGCCCATATGGGTTCACATTGCTGACCAACAGTAATTGCGCAAAACGTGTTACACTTTTCGTTTTGTAAGACCATAATAATAATACTAATATTAAGAACTATTCGAAAGAGAGTTCATGAACATGCATTAAGTCAAGGCACCAATACTAGTATACATATACCTACATAGATGTTTGTACTTACTTGTAATAAAAATTAATAATTGCTTTAAAGATTTAAAGTCCGGTATCACTCAGCACTCGCTCGGGTGTGCCCGTAGACTAGTCTGCCTTCGTTAATTATTTGTAACGTACCTTATGGGTAAGTAAATGTAACATCAGCCATTTTTCAATAACAATACTTTGAAAACATCATACGCGGGCTGTTTGAACAAGCCGATTCAATCCATTTGATTTATTACTGTTTCTTGATTTGATTTATAGATTAGATTGCATTTCCGGACATTTTCTCTTGAACAATAATTGATGCGTCCCGTTTTGCTTTGTTTACGAATTCTAGATAAAGAATTGCATTTAGATAAATAATAATGACTGTTTATGTTGGGATAGTAGGTTACAGTGGGTACGTCACATTATATAGGCAAATTAATATTTAGTAAAAATAATTTGTTGATGTCGATTGAAATATACGTCTGCTACGTACCGGCAAAGAATAATACTTATTGTATTAAATTAGCTATATGTTAAACCCGCCTTAAATGTGGTAAAAGTAATATGAAAAAACGCGAAGCTGGAATTCAAAAGCTGGAAGCTGGAATTTGTAATATAATTTGGTTATGAAAACATTTAGATTTAAAGCTACCCTTCAGACACATTCAATTTTTTCAAGAGCTATTTGAAGCTATAAGGAATAGCGAAAAATGCTGAAAAGACCTATGCGAACGATTTAAATAAAAATTAAATCACACTTTTTTTCGATGACATTTCTCACATATATAATTTACTAGCTTTTGCCCGCGACGTCGTCCGCGTGGAATAGTTACTTTGGGAAAACGCTACATTTTACCCGCTACTTCATTTACATAGAAGGTGAAATTATTTTTTAATAAGATAATGTTAAGGAGCTATTTAAGGTTCCAAAAGCACGTTTTCTAACTGAGTTCAAAAGAGCATGCTATCAATTCGACCACAATTTTTTTGTCTATGTACATTCACCAATAATTTCTCGAGAATGCTTGAACCGATTCGGATAATTCTTTTTTTTGTTCGATAGGGTAGACTTTCCGAATGGTCCTGTAATCATCAGGATCAGGATCTGATGATGGGATCCTGGAGAAATTGAGAATAATCTACAATTTTCGAAGCCTATCTTGAAGTGATTTGGCTCTTTCTTGTTATTCTTTTATTCCGTACCGCACCGGCTGGCTCGTGCCTTGACCATCATTATAACGCGCTTGATCATTATTTTGATGTGATGTTCTTTTAAAAGTGCGATATCTTCTAAGATATTCATTGAAATCAAATGTTGTAAAGGGAAATTTTCTTTTAAATTATATACTTGTAATGAATAACGTTTTTATTTGGATAAGGATTAATATCATGTTTATAAAAGCACTTTTACAAATAATGCTTTATTTTAGAACAAATTTGATTAGCATAAAAAAGCTTATAGCGACCCAACCTTAAAATATAGATATATGCTGTCGCGGACTTTTTTTTAAAACTTTTATAGCCCTTTAATTTAAAATTAACCAATTCTGTCATACATTATTTTGTGAAATTTAACCGTTTCCGCAGTGCACGCAACGGAAGCTTTCAAAAGGAAAAGACAACCCCAATTTTGTTCCTATTGGTATTAGCGTGATGTTATATAGCCTATATAGCCCTCCTCAATAAATGGGATATCTAACACTAAAATAATTTTTCAAATCGGACCAGTAGTTCCTGAGATTAGTGCGTTCAACCAAATAAACAAACAAACTACAGCTTTATACTATTAGGATAGATAACGGATATAAATCTAAAGAATACTTTTTGTCATGTCATAGCGGGGCAACGCAGGGTATGTCTGCTACCTATAATATCTAGACTTTATCTACAAAATTGCCGTTTAGTACACAGAAAGAAAAGTACTTCTTTTAACATGTTTTATTTATATCGTAAACATGTGCAACTATCGTATCGATGCATCTCTGTCAACGCAGTGGTAATTTTCCAATACCGTTCTTGAAGACGTCAGGTGCCCGGGAGCCAAAAAACTCATCTAAGGCATTTTGTACTGCTTTTTTATTGCTTTAATGGGTGACGAGCTTATAGTCCACCTGGTGTTAAGTGCTTACTAGAGCCCATAGCCATCTACAACGTAAATGCGCCACCCGCCTTGTGATATAAGTTCCACGGTCTAAGTATATTTACAATGGCTGCCCCACCCTTCAAACCGAAACGCATTACTGTTTCACGGCAGAAATAGGCGAGGTGATGGTACCTACCCGCGCGGACTTACAAGAGGTCCTACCAGTAATTACGCAAATTATAATTTTGCTGATTTGATTTTTATTACACGATGTCATCCCTTCACCGTGGAAGTCAATCGTGAACTTTTGTTGAGTACGTATTTCATTAGGAAATATTGGTACTCGCCTGAGATTCGAACACCGGTGCATCGCTCAACACGAATGCACCGGACGTCTTATCCTTTAAGGACGTCCATAACGACTTTTAGCTTTGGAAAAAGTAGATAGCAAGAGTATGAGAAGCAAGAATACCATAATATGTATATAAAACAGGGTGTTTGTTATCTAAATTAAATTAGAAGTGATAGCGGTTTCAACCGCGCTAAATTCGTAATTACGAAACATTCCTTCGTAACACATTTTCCCAGGATAGATTTGCTTATGTCACTCTCTGGACCATAAACTATAATACTATAAATACTATACTACCGTCGGTATATAAACTCACGAACTAGGGAACATACTGTCGTATTTTTATATAATTGGTCTTCTTTACCTATGAATTGTATGACCACAAAAAAAAGTGGACAGAAGCATCGAATCAACAACGGAAAAATTTTCACTAATAAAAACGTTGGTTAGGCCAAACCGGTGGGTACTGCCCACAGGCTTGGGAGTTAGCACGTCAGCGTGTGGGTTATAGCTATTACAGTGATGAGGGTATACTTAGCATATATGTAGGTGGTGTAAATTTTAAATGTAGACGTACAGTGATATATATCAAATTATGAGGATTAGTAGAAATTCTGAAGGAAGAGTCGAGTTATATTTTTAAATAAAAAAGGAACAACAATGCACAATCCGTTTTTCGGAAATTTAAAAATTGCCCAGAGTTAAGAAGAACCCGTCGCTTCGAGAAAGGTGACACGGGGATTATGAAGTTGTTTGGTTAAGATCCGATGGAAAATTTACATATACTTAGTTGTAGTTCATTTAAAAAACAAAACTATATTCTAATTATAATACTATGATCTCTAATACTACTACAACGTAATATTTGGTTCCTTCTATTATTTGTACATAATTTTTACAAGTTCATTCGTTTTAGAACATTCTTTTAATTCTGAATTGCGATATTTCGAATAATACAAAGTGTATTTAAAAAAAATCACAAGTCATCATTTTTCATGTTTACACATATGTATATTATGTAATAGTTTCAAATAAAACTAGTAGTCTACAATCCAATTTATGTATGACAGACACTGTTGAAATTTTTTAAGCGAGAATATCGTGCGGTCTCTGAAGCTGAGTTGATTACCAGACAACTGTTACCCGATTTACAGGTATGCTGTATAATAACCTACAACGGAGATAAGAGGTTAGGTTTTTTCGCGCGATTGCGGCAAACGACACTCAACCGAAGCATTGTCGGCGCCACGCCACGCCACACCATACCAACCATTCGCTCGTCCGCCGCCGGCTCGCACGCCTGGCGCCTGCACACGCCACCGCGTGTTTCCGACTACTAATTTTAACTTACCGTCAATGGTGTTTGTGAGCCTAGCAGAATTCCTGAAACACAAAGAAGAGTACCTTAACACCACACACCATGGACAAGGATCGCGCTTTAGAAGAAATGATGGGAAAGCTCGGTGAGTGTAAAGTTGAAAACTTGTGCGAACATATGGAAGTCGTAATTCATAATTGGTTGTGTTGAAGTACTTTTACATTTTACTTGCGTTATTTTTTTTTATAAAGAGTAAAATTCTCCTTTGTTGATTTCGCTGTCATTGCTCGTTTTTAATTTAAAATTAGGTTGTGTAAGACTGCTATCTGATTCTGTTGTGTTAATGCAGAGCACAAAGTAAATATTTTACATTAGGTTCGATTGAAGAGTACTTTCTAAAGAATTAATTATAAGCCGTGATCAAGGTTAGTTTTAACTCGAACGCGAAGTGAATCTATTGGGATATCATTGAAATCAATATACAGGTATAATTAGTCAAATTATATACATGTAAGAAAAAAAAAGTTAGAATACAAAATTTAACAAATGATATTTATCACGTTTGTGATATGCGGAAAAAATGGACATAACTCGTATGCTTAAACTAAGTCAAGAATATAATTTTAATAGTAGTAAATATTAATTGTGCGTGATGTGGATACACGAATGAGTGATGCGTAACCTTTTTTTTAAGTAAAATGATGTAATAGTTAAGACCAACTTATCTATCCGACAAATTGGTTTGAGGAAGGACCTTCACCTTTCTCTTTTACCTTCGCAAGGTAAACCAGGTTTCATACTTACATATATGTAAATTACCAATTTTAAGTGAAGTTTTAATAATAATTATATAAATTTTTTATGCAATGTGTTCGGAATTTTGTATTTTAAAGTGTAGTTTATTTACCTCTCGCTCTTTCTCTCTCTCTTCCTAGCTATTCTTCCCAAATGGTGGTGGGGTCAGCTTTCCTTATCTTATTCCTCCACTTCGCTCTGTATTCGTTATTATCGTCAGTAACCTTGCATTCCCTCATTTCCCTTTAGCACTTGTCTTCTTGTATTTTACCTGAGCCTGTTGTAATATTTAAAATCCCTGATCAAAAGATTCGAAAAGTTTATCAGACAGACAAAGTATTTGTGAGATTTACTGTCCATGAATTTATCTTACAACATAATAACACAGGATTTTCTTAAGTTTTCATATCAAACGAATTCGTTATCAAAGATTATTAAATTTAATGCCCCACAATTCACGCTCTTAAAACTGAAGTTCGTAAAATAGCTTTTTTTTTATTTTTTTTATTGCTTAGATGGGTGGACGAGCTCACAGCCCACCTGGTGTTAAGTTGTTACTGGAGCCCATAGACATCCACAACGTAAATGCGCCACCCACCTTGAGATACAAGTTCTAAGGTCTCAAGTATAGTTACAACGGCTGCCCCACCCTTCAAACCGAAACGCATTACTGCTTCACGGCAGAAATAGGCAGGGTGGTGGTACCCACCCGCGCGGACTCACAAGAGGTCCTACCACCAGTAAAAGTAGCTTAAAGTAGCATTATAAAAATCGGAAGATATAATACTAAATATTAATATGTGCAAAACTATTTTGATACTGTATAAAATGATTACTAACCAAATAATTATTGAGACGTCTCTTGGCAGAATTATCAGGCAACGTTAATACAAATGTACATATATTATGCATTTAAAATATTTAAGTTGGTAAACATTTACAAGCACACCAAACTAAACATACATCTTATATGTTTAGTTTAGTAAATAGGAGATGTATGTAGGTTTCGTTTAGTGTGTCTTCGTCACAGATTAATTTATTTTTTTATGTTTAAATCATCTGTTTTTTGCGAATTTCAGAACGAAATTACTATAAGTGAATTAGTAAATTTTATCAGCTTTATCGATTTAACTATGTTAAAAATATTGTTAGCACCTATTTTATTATACATTATTGCTACAAATAACTAATATTAATAAACTATATAAAGTGAAACGCCTGTCTGATTACAATATGAAGGTTTTTAATATTTTTATTACAATATGTTACACATTTATTGTAATAACATGTCGCGTTAACTAGTCCTTAGGTAAATATAGTAGGTGTTACATATGTACATCAAATGTGTATTTAAAGGTCACTTCATCTTTATTCCGGCTAATATATCCGGAATCAATGGATACGTAGAACGTGTTATTCAAAATGTTTGGCTTATAAATATGTATGTGTGATCCAAGAGTAACTTATGCATTTAACATAGTTCTCTGATGAAAAACACCGTTAGAACACATACGATAAATGCAGTATAGTGAACCAACAATTTCCCGATCCCCTAGCTAGATTCTTCAGAAGGGCTTAATAACCTCAGATGAACAATAAATAGCACGTCTTCTCATCTAGACCCAAAAAATTCAATGCGTACTTCGTGATCACGTTGGATTGCTTATGGATTACCATTTCATACAAAGTTATCCATGTGTCTGTCTATTTAAGAAAATAAAAATAGCTCTTATCGATAAGTAGACAAGTTAATGCTTTAACTTGCGACAAGAAGACACTTTACGTAGAAACCTACAAGGTTGTCACTATGTAGTAAAATATATAATTTGAAGAAAAAATAATTATTATATCTCTGATTTATATAATTTGTCAATCGGGCGCTAGTATAGAAGATATCTGAAAGCGAGTGGAGAAATTCAAAACATTTGGTTACACCAAGTAAGAATAATCTTTCCCGATATTGCACTTGTGTGTGTTCGAGAAAGCCTCCTCGTGTTAATAATTCTTTCTTTACAATGAGCATTAAGTCATTTGAACATGTCATGAAAGTATACTATATTGACAGCTCTTTACTATGCTCAGTGTTTATTAGTTTTACTTCTAAATCTATGGAATCTTAGTTTTTAGTTTCATAGCAAAAAATTACGTCAAACCTAAACCTTTCTGAAAATGTAACGAACCATTGAAATTATAGCATTCAATGTTTCACAATACTAATGAACAGGTGACTAGGTACGTACACAAAAGCGAATATTACTTAAAAAAATATTTATGGAGTTTACGTGATTCCTTAGATTTCGCTTGGTGACCCACTAAATATTGACCAACCTTAGCCCGCGTCTATTTTTGTGCAAACGCCAGTTATTGATCAGGCCTTGTGACATTCACAAGTCTACGAAGGTGACAATACCAAATAAGTATCCTCAAATTGAGTACTTACTTAATTTAAAGATAAAACGTCTGCTATTGTTTACAGAATTTATGTTTAGGTGTTTTTAATGTCTACAGTCCTTATTGGTTTCTTAGCTTAGTAGATAGCTGTCGAAGGTAGACAAGCTGGCCACCTTACTGTTAAAGGGCTATCGTCACCCATGGACATCAGCCATATTTATTAAATACGTACCTATTTAGTTTTAATTCAAGGGATGGGGTTCCGATTCTTCACAGTCATCTGTGTCAAGGTCAGTGACTCCACCCCTGTGGACTATGATTGACAAGTACCATTAGGAAGCCTTTTGCTCTAATCACGAATAAACAATTTATTTTAGTATTATCGTGTAAATAAACTTATTAAATTATTATTTTTCAAATAATATAAATATCAATATTTACTAACAATCACGCCACGTTAACTGGTCTCGTGCTAAGTTCGTAATGAACTTGTGTTACAGGTACCAGATAACGGAAATAAATGTAAGATTTTTATTATACACATACATATATTTAATATACATCCATAACCCTGGAAAAGACATTTATATTTATCATACAAATATCTTCCCTTGGCGGGATTCGAACCCGCGACCCCCTTGTGTAGTGACCATGTCACTTACCACTACACCAGACGACCGTTAAAAATTATTAAATTGTTATTGACTTTCTGAATGACTAGTTGGGTACATTCGACACTCTGTTATTAGATAATTTTGTATTAACTATCGTTCAAGTTCACGTGATTCGACCGACCCCGATTCTCTGTAAGTAGGCGGCGCGTAATCAGTTTTAGTAATTAATCATTATCGCTTACTAATTTTGACTAAGTAGAGTTATTAAACGTAGATATCGCTATCGTTATGGGTGGCTCAGTGAGATTTTAATCAGTCTAATTCTAAAAATTAATGCTATTGTTTTTACATAAATCACTGCGATATAAGTTCATAAATGTGACAATACTGTAACATTAATGTCTCAATCGTCCTCTCTCGCTCTCTCTTAGATAATAGGTATACGTTCGTATAGGATGCTCACACTGCGCCCTCCTCCTCCTCCTCCTCGCGTCGTTTTCCACATTACTGAGGGTCGTGACTTGCCCGCTGCATCAGTTTCTTCCGTACGATTTTCCTCCATCTTCTACGATCCTTAGCTTTGTGGAAGACATTGTGGAAGTTGATGTCCAGAGAAGACCGTATTTGGTCCGACCATCTCGTAGGACTGCGTCCTCTGGGACGTTTGCCATCTACCTTTCCTGTCACCATCAGCTGTTCACAATCCCACAATAACATCTTCTTAAGCTTACATGGAGGCTAAAATACACTTTTCCACTATATATCCTCTTAACTCCAGATTTATACTAAGTAGATATGTTCGTATTCGGAATTATAGCATAATGTGGAAGTTCATTGAACTCAGCTGTCAGTGTAATTTTGGCCCAGCGCCACTACTACCAATGTTTTACGTTCAAAACATTGTTATTTTTTCTCGCGGCACATTTGAACAATTCCTTTATCCCGATTCGTCTATAAAATGTCAAATACCGCTTCCATTTATTTAAAGTTATGCATCATTATTCTGTGTAAAGTATTTGGCAAAGAACCCTTTTTTAGCTTTCATTTTAAATTATTAACAAAAGAAAAAAAACATTTCGTTTGTAAACACTTTTATTTTAAAATCACTACAATGATCTAATTTATTGTGATGTCGAAGACGCATTGGTAGAGTTCGATGTAGACCGATACAACAACCAAAAAAAAACAGTTGACAATGATGTAATATAATTATCGTAGCGAAAGACTGTTTATTTAATTATCACCGTGATCAGTATCTATAATGCAACATTATCTATCTTTATGGATACAGTCATTGATAGTTCGTGAATCGTGATTTATCAATTTTCTTTCAGTAACGAAACAA